CAACTCACTGAGGTGAGCTGTCGCTGGACCCAGCAGCTGTGTCAGAAGTCAGGTACTGAAGGAGGCAGTCTTCCATTAGACCCCTTAACTCTGAATGAATGCAAGGGAGAGAAACGGGAACTGGCCTGCAAAATGCAGTAGGGAACTGTGCTTTCAGCCTCAGTTCTCTGATACTTGTGAGGCTCCTTTCTTTCTTTTAAAAATAGTAAGAAAAGGAAAAAAAAAACAACCAACCGAAACCCTTAGAGTTTTCTGCAAAATTAGGTGGGCTACAAGATGTGCAAACTGAAGGCTGTCCCTCTGAAATTAAGGACCTTAATAGGTAGGTTCAATTTTCAAAGAAACCCCACACTGTTTTTGCTTTAGTTGCAGATTTTGAGATTTGCTTGACCACCTCAAAATATTTTAAAAAATTATAAATGCTGAAAGCCTTTACAGTGGGACCCAGTAAGGGGCATTTCTGTGTGAGGCAAAATGCAATGCAAAATGCAATGTAGTGTATGTGTGATCTGTGGAGACTGAAGAATATTTCACCAGGACCTGGTGCCAGGTGTTCACATGAAAGCCAGCTGCTGCTAGCCCAGCAGATGTGCAAGCACTCCAATGAGGGGGTTTCCAAGGTCCTGAGCACATTCAAATGCTAAGCCCAAGAATGTGGATCATTAAAACTGAAGAAGGTGTTGGTGGGAATGGCTCTGAAGTGAACCCTTTCAGGATGATGCATTCAGATCATGCCACCTGCATACTAAGCTGCAGCTTGTATTGAGAGGATGCTTGATAGCTCAAAATGTTTGGACTTAAAACCCATCCTCACTTCCACCAGCCACAACTTCTAAAGTGGGGAATAGCTCTGCTGAAGTCAGTGAAGTAGTTAATATTCACCTGTGGGCTACACAAACCCAGATTTTTTTCCAGAATTTAACAATGAAGAAGAGCCTTTTTATTATAGGCCTTGTTCATAATTTTTTAAAATTCTATTTCTGCTCTTCCTTTTATTGTTCTGTTCTGCTCATCTCTGCTACAGTAGCTAGAACTTGCTACTGTGCATATCTGGTTTTCATGTGCTGGCAGGGTACCTGTTCTTTATCCCTTTGGTGCCTTTTGTCCAGGAATCTCAAAGCGTATCACAGGTATTAATTGAATGAATCCTCACAACTGCCTGGGTGAGGTGGATGGTCAAATATTGTTCTCTTATAAGCTGACAAGAGCAAACCACAGAGAGATGAGCTGATACAATCTCTCATTACCACTCAGTGTGTGCACGGCAGAAGTGGGAATAGAGTCCAGGATTAAATCCTGACTGTGTCAAAGACAATGCTGAAGCTCCCTGTAGACTATTCAGGTCAGGTTCTCACCTTATCTTTCTTGATGACCAGTCTGCTTTATCACAAAATTGCAGTATTATTATTTTTAATTTTACAACCCTATAGGAAGTCTTCCAGTTTGAAAAAAATAAAAATCCTTACGCATTCATAAACTTAGGCAAATCCATTGCTCTCCTGAATCCTTAAAAATAAATGAAAAAAATATCTGCAAATCAGGTATGCTGTATTGAGGTGTACACAGATGGGAAAATAAGAACTTGAATTTGCATCAGGTTATGACAGGCATTTAAATAGCAGTGCATCTAAGCATGCTCACTTAAGCATTTTGTGTTCTTCGTGGGGGTACTGTTAGCTCCCTGCAGCTGTGAAACGGCTGCTGATGTTTTTGCACTGAGGGAGTAACTAGGAGCATACATGCGGTCAGGCCTGCTGACAAGTGGTGAACTGCTGAGCTGCAGTAACTCGGTTGTCTGTCCTCCTTTTGTCAGTAGTATGGTGAGCTTCTTGAGCTCCAAGGGCAGTTGTAGGTCTTGCTGCTATGGTGTGAGAGCCACAGAAGAGGAGATCGTGTTACTCTTGCATGTTCTGAACAGAGCTTCAAGCTGGACCTCAGTGACAATCATTTTCTGAAGCTTTTTCCCCTTTCGGAGGTAGAACTGGATGTTGTGAGAAGATTAAGAAGGATGCTTCAGGCCACGCTGCTACATGTCCTTCTACCTGAAAGGTGGTTGTAGCAAGGTGAGTGTCAATCTCTTCTCCCAAGTCACAAGCAATAGGACAAGAAGAAATTACCTGAAGTTGCTCCAGGAGAGGTTTAGATTGGATATTAGGAAAAATTTCTTCTGTGAAAGGTTTGTCAAGCATTGGAACAGGCTGTCCAAGGGAGTGGTGGAGTCACCATCCCTGGAGGTATTTAAAGGATGGGTAAATTGTGGCACTTAGGGACACAGTTTAGTGATGGAGTTGGCAGTGTTAGGTTAAGAGTTGGACTAGATGATCTTAAGGGTCTTTTCCAATCTAAGCAATTCTGTGATTTATACAATTACTATAAGGCATGACGGTATTTAATGCCATCGAACTTCAGTGGACAGGATACCCTAATTCCACTGTCTTAGAAATCTTGGTGAGCTTCAGTAGTTGTGCCAGCCACAGCATCAGAGGTCAGTAAAGAACTGGGGTAGCAGTACTGGTATATCAGTACTGGTATATTAGACCTACCTGTCAACCCCAGAAGATTGCTAGACACAGTGCTGAATAGCATTTTTGTGCCAGAAACCTCCTCAGGTTGATAGGAGGATTTTGAGGTTATAAAATGTTTATATTGTTACATTGTCACAGCATTCCCAAAAGACTTCTCAGAAAGACAGAGTTCTGGTCTGTATGATTGATAAAATGACAACTTTAATGGAGAAGGTCCAGACTATAGATTACTCTAAAAATTGACTGTAAAGCACAAAGTTCACAAGTGACATTTAAATCTGAGGTATTCATCCACCTTTAGCTTCTCCATAAATAATGGCCAGGTCTCAGATGCCTGGTTTGGCAAATGTTCAGTAGATGAATAGGTATTGTACACGGTTTTGGGGACTGAATGATTTATTGGCAATTTATAGTGTACTGAAGCATGATGCGATTTCTGCTTCATTGGTAGTAACACTGATCCATAAACAGCAGCAAATATCTAAATGACTTTGGGGCTTTTTGGACTGTTTGTTTGTTTGTTTGTTTTTTAAATTTTAGTCTTGCTGGAGTCCTACAGCCTAGTTCTCTAGGAGCTACTGTGCAATGCTAGGAGCGGTAGATTAGGTTTGGGACATGTGTGGGTTCTTCTACCTGTTGATTGGGTGACTCGTTGATCAGCTACTTTGATTATCCAAGCTCTACAAATGGAAATGAACCTTGAATGGGTCTACAAACACAACTAGGGAATAGACCTACAGTTGTGCTCACAAATCATGACCACAGTACTGCATAGGGCAGAGGCTGCTCCATAGATATGCCTCAGTCCCACTCTGTCCACAGCGAGAGTGAGTGCTAAGCCTTTTCTAAAGCAAAGTGTATTGTGATTTCATTGAGGTGATGGACTATTTCAGTCTGAAATAAAATTTCACCTTAATAATATTTTTTAGTTGTAATCAAATTGCAGAGCCTAATTCTGTCTTGTTGGGATGGCTCTCTCCTCCTCCCCTCCACTCACTTGTTCATTGCTTTTTAATTATTTGATGTAACACAACCGAGCTGTACACATCCTGCAGGCCAGCTTCAGGACTGCTCCACCCAGATTAATCTAACTGACTTCATTAGGAACATGATCACACATGCAGTATCATGGTGCTCTCTTTGCTCTTTCACTTCACAGCGATGTTATACAGAAATAATTAACCATGAATGCCCTTATTAATAATGCTCATACACAGAATAAATCCTTAATTTATCTTAATTGTAGCCTTGCTGAGACTGCAGCGGGCACATTTGGGAGAGTGGCTTGGATTGATGCAAGGGAACTGTCTAGGCTCAGTGCCAAAGCTAAGAGCTGTGTTGCCTATTCTACACACTCCAGTGGCAGAGGAAGGCTGTATGACACTGCCAGTCCCCTACTACTTGATCAAATCTCCTTGTACCCGCATAGTAGGTCTGGCATTTGCCAGTGTTGTCCTGTCTCGTCCTACTTTCTGTTCACGCACTGCGTGGTCCATATGCACAAGTCCCTCTCTGCTTCTGCTTTGCTTTGTGGGAAAGAGGTCAGCCAAAGGTGGGCAGCTGTTAACAGAATATTTACCCTGCCCTTCAGCCTGATCCCAGCTTGCCCCTAACAGAAAGAGCATAAGGCTTCAGTGAGACCATGGCTTAGAGGCTTATTCTGTCTCTGTTAGCATGAGAACAGGGTACTAGGGCTCAGCTGAAAGCTTACAGCTCATGGCTGTTCACTCTAATTTTTCTAGACCTACCAATTTTTGTGAATTAGTGTAAAAATGTTGAAGAGAACAGATTAAAATGTCATCTGTAGCATACCTTCATGTACTTACTTTACTAAGAACATTTTCCCAGGAGTGGCTTCAGTAATTCAGGATTTTGCTGCAGTGTGGGGGATTTGGTTTCCATCTTTACTCCCTTATATCTGATGCTGTTGCCCATAATGAGCATTTTTACATCAGCCAATGTGCAAAGATCAGGGAAATGGAGACTAAGACTAAGAACCCAGGGGCTTGAAAAGTCCTTTGAAGTTACTGTGAAAATGCTCACATGACTTAGAGAGATTTGGAGCATGTTCCTCAGCTTCATCTTTTTGTCAGCCTGCTTGGGGAATACTGCTAGGAGCTGACCTAACATCATGGATGTTAGGGCTCATAAACTCTGCAGGAGACGAGGATTTGAGTGCCCTCACTGGTTTTCTGGCCAGCAGGAGTAGGGATTGATCTGGGCTCTAGGATGAGTTCCTATAAGGTATTTTCACCGTACTGCCTCTCCTGCCATTTCCAAATCATCATGGTGCTAACTGGCAACCCTTCTGGCTGATGAAGTCAGCTTCAAGGATGCTCAGATGAAAGTGGTATTAGCACATCAGAACCCACAACCTACATCACTGGCTGCCACTCAAGCTCAGGGAGGCTATGCTCTGCCAGGAAGAGCGAGCCTCAGGGTATCTGCTGACGGATGGGACTGTAGTGCATTTGTCTGGCTTGTGTCCAGTCTATGAAGGCCACCTGTGTGACACTGTGGGCTGCCACCCACCCTACGAGTGCCCCAGAGCTAGCTGGGGGGGTTAAAATATGAACAGACTTTATCTGCATCAGAGCTGGCCTATCCTGAGAGTGTGCACTACTGCTGGAGAACTCCTACTGTGGTTCAATTTCCTAAGACGTACTCACCTCCAGGTACACCACCCATGGCATCACCAAAGTAGCCACCAGCAAGTCCGCCACCGCCAGGCTCACCACAAGGTAGTTTGTTGTGGTTTGCAAGGTGCGTTCCCTCAGCACGGCTAAGCAGACCAGCACATTCCCAAAGATGATGGCCAAAATCAGGATGCAGTAGCAGAGCGCATAGTAGGCATGTGAGCGTGGCAGGTCAGGCTCTGTAGTGTTATCTGACCCACAGGGAATGGGGTCGGTGGTATTAGGATGACTGCCGGTTCTTGTGAAGAGGGCCATGGGGATGCCACTGCATAGAGAAAGAAAGAGATGTCTGAAAATCAGAGCTCTACAATAATTGTGGAGAACGGCACCTTTTGTGGACAGTGTATGATTTTCATCCTTCATAAATGCTACTTTAAGCCAATTATAGAGGTCTATTCTCATACATAGGCAGAGCTTTGCTTAAAATGTTGCTTGGCCTGTTCTGTTTTTCATTGACTCTAAGCCAAGAGAAGTATGCAAGATTTCACCTTCTGTGTGCATCTGAAAGGTGCATCTTACCAACCAACGTAGCTGTACGGAAAGTGGCAATGGTTTTAAGATGCACCACAGTCACACCACAGTACAAGTCAGCCGGGCAAGAGCACAGTCTGAAAGACAATTTGTAGTGCTGAGGAGGACCTGATGCAATTACCCAAACTAGGGCTTGCTGAGAAGCTTGACCTAGTATCTTTTTTTCTGGGAAGTACCCTCTCCCTTCCTTTGTCAAAAAATGTCTTCAATAACCTCATGCACTTGAATACTCGGCAGCCTGGCAGAGAGACGGCACCCGCAATGCTCAAGTAGCCTCTTCAACCCTGGCATCCTGGCAGTAAGCACCACGTACTGAATTACTCTTTTCCTGCAACATCCCAGGCCTTCTGTTCAAATAACATTTCGCTTCAGCCCTGCCTGCCTTGCCAAAGCTCGACTGTCAGTGCTGCCCCCATTTCATCCATATTGTGCTCTGCTAGAAGCAGCAAATCAACTTGTTATTTGGGATGAAATAATGGAAGGATGCTTGCAGGGTACTCTGCACTTCTTTTTCTTACAATGGATTCATGATTGTGATCGGGAACCTACCCCTTCTTGATTTAGAAGGAGGATAAATTTTTCAGGAATATGAAGGCTGCTATCCCAGTGTTGTTCTGTGACATTTAATCTCTTGTATCTGTTTTTTTTTTTTTCTCTCTTTGCTAGTGCTCCCATCACTGAACTCATCATCAGTGTGACAGGTATGAAAGACAAGGACAAAATGGTGCAATGTCACTGGTATAAATATTGCTCCTTGTTCCACCTCACCCCTTGAACAGCAGCATCTGTGATGCACACTTCTGGAAGAGTAGCTGTGTAATAGGTATAAATTGCTCCAGGCCTCTGGCATAGATGTATCCTTAAAACTGGTGTTGCTTGTTCCTGCTGGTTTGCGGTTGGGAGAGGACAAGGGCTGAATGATATGGAAACTGGAATGAGATGGAAACTGAACTTCCCTCTCTTCCATGAACACTGATCCCTCAGGACAGGGGTGAAACAATTTCTTATGGCCCCTGTTTTGTTTGAAAATGCCTCTGCTTGTTTTTCCTTTTCTATCTTTCTTCTGCCTCCTTGACAAAGAAGTTAAGCCTTTCACTGGATCTGAAGGATTTCCTGTAGTGTGAGCACCATCACCGAGTCCAGGACTGTTTGTAAAACAGTTCAGCTGCAGCCACCCAAAGACAGGACTCATTTTGCAGCGTTCCTTGCACTGACACAGCTCCCGCTCTGGAAAACCCGTATTGTCTGGGGCTGTGAAAGGCTATCAGTGCAGTGTGGGAAAAACTACATTAAGCAGGTGCCTAGCTGATAAGCAAAGACACGACAGGGAATGAACAAAACATCATGCACAATATAACCAAAAGGCTTAAGGCGCAGCATTTCACAGTTTGCCTGAGGGTTTCCTGCCCTCTCTCCTCCTCGTTACATCCTAAAGCACTATTTTCGCCTCTCACCCGGAGGCCAGTCTTCCCTACCAGGATCGCTCCCAGCTCCCCATGCCAGGACCCTCAGCCCTGAACTGTCCCCCACCCCAACAATTACTCCCCGGCTCTGCTCTCTCTGCCCGCGGCCAGGGTGCTGGGTACCGGGATACTGATGTGCCAGGGTACGGGAGTACCCGCACACCGGGGTGGTAGGACACAGAGGCACAAGCGCACCGGGACACCCGGATACCGGGACACTCACCGCCCGGGGCACAGCAACAAGGGTCGCTGCCCTAGGGACAAGCAGACGACGAGGAAAGGGATATATGCTCCTCCTGTGGGTCTCAGCCTCGGAGGGTTCCGGGTGCAGGTCCCGGTTCGGATGCCAATGTCCGAGCGTGGGGCACAGCGTGCAGGGGAGGGATCCCGGGTCCTCGCCGTGTCCCCGGCCCGGGGCTGCCTTGTGCCCCGGTGATGCCGCGGGGGAGGGAGG